ACTTGTATCGCTGAAGATCCTCAGAAATAATTTCTACCGGAAACAAACAAACAAGCAGATATGTAACAATATCAATTGTTTTCCATATGTAAAGCCTCATAGTTATAAATGTTTTTGATAGAAAACATATCACAATAGGATGATACATGGACTTACTATAACATGGAAGGAAGTTCACAAAGTCCAAAACCTTTTATTAAAGAACCTACCCTACCTTGGGTACTTGTTATAGTTGTACTCCCAGATTTTGCAGGAAGTTTGTTTGCAATATCTTGACTAGCAGAAAGATCTTTCTCCTTATTCTCCGGTGGTGGTTGTGGCTGATTATATTTCTTATTAGCTTCTGATTTTCCCTCTGCACTGAGTTTTATATCACCAGCATTTCTTTTCCTTCGGTTTTGCTCAGGAGTCTACATAAGAAAATTCCACTCAAATATTAACAATAATTATACTCACTTATTGTACAGTCAGTAGAAAAACAATAGTTCATGTAACCTTGCTAATGTGTGAAGAGTTATTGAAGATTATTCCAGTGATCAATTAAATCTAAAAAAAACCACTGCACCCAAACACAATGATACAAGAGTTTCAATTCTGTCACTGTATGGCTATCATCCTGAAGTTTATCTTCTTGGAAGGTATTCGTTTCACTATCTAACAAACATCTGATAGTTGCAACTGTACTTTACATACAATGACGAAGATTTGTTGGTTACTTGATTATAAATTTTTTTAAACTAACATACAAAGATTATTAAAAACAAAGTGTTACAAACAAATCTATTAACTAACCATGGTAGCTCAAAATTACTTAGTTTGAAAGCTGTAACAATTTTGGTGACTATTTTGGAAGTATGATGGGTTTAGAATCCATTTTTACAACTGTGTTGTCATTATCTTTTCACTTACATCTGACATCACCCCACAGATACAATAATGTTTCCAGTTTCTACATTATCCTTACACTTACATCTGACATCACCCCACAGATACAATAATGTTTCCAGTTTCTACATTATCTCTACACTTACATCTGACATCACCCCACAGATAAAGTGATGTTTCCAGTTTCTACATTATCCTTACACTTACATCTGACATCACCCCACAGATAAAGTGATGTTTCCAGTTTCTACATTTTCCTTACACTTTCATCTGACATCACCCCACAGGTATAATGATGTTTCCAGTTTCTACATTATCTTATTATATAATCATACATAAACAGTGATGTTTGTCTGTTACATATGAAAATCCTGATGCTAAAAACTGAAAGCAAAGAAAAATAGAACCTGCTAGGTTTACTACATTGATAATCTCAATCCATATATCAGATATTGAATATTCTACTTTTTTTATTCATGTCACTGTAGTAAAATATACTATATTTACACTTACAAAATCTGCCATGTTTATTTTAACTTAAACCTTTTACTTCCCCAAAAGTTGTTAATTCTCCATCAAGAAAAAGTCTTAATTTGACCATTTTTATTACTTTTACAACTTGAAATGACCACAAAGTTTCCATATCTTACATTAAAATTTCTTGAAAACAATATTAAATAATGGGAATTTAGCTTTTCAACCAGAAAATGTGCAGAATTTGTTTAAAAGGGTTCTTCAATATACGACAGTAAAATGGCAGCCATTTCAAGACCAGCAGAGATCTGTCAATTGTCACAGTAAAAGGATGAATTTTTTGGCTGTCGTGGAGAAAAGTCGATTTCTGTACTTAATAGTAATAAAGGTTCAATTGATTTTTACAGAGAAATTGTTAAGGTAATTAAACAGTACAATCTACTATTTTAATTCTCACTCGTGTGTGTGATATTTTTGTACATGAACCTGGTTAAAAAAAAATCATTCTAGAATTTTCTGTACACTTCCTCACTTTTTCTGATAGAAGATTACACTTCTAAACAAGGCAATTAAACAAAATAACGACCGTTGTTTAACAATATATCATTACAACATTTTACACATACATGAAACAGAAGTTGTCTTACACATTTCTGTGAATACACTGGATCTAAACAAATAATTGCACTGTGATAAGTGATGTGAAACATCAATTGCACAAATACTGAATTAACAAAGAAACAACACAGCATTCTCACCTCGTCAAGTTTCTCCTTCTTCTGAGTAAGTGTATTATCTGCCTCACTAACTGGGCTTTTTTCAGTTGAGATCATTTGTTTTCCTTTAACATTCTCGGTTGAACCAAGAACACTGGTGTGATTTAATGCCTAAAATTAATGAGAAATCTATCAAACTTTATTTCACAACTAGCAGAGACCTGCAAAACATTTGCATTAGTATCTTTATTGCAACAGTACTTACAGGATTTCTAGAGTAATACAAAAGAATTCTCATCACAGACATTGAAATCTATAAGTCCACTTGGCTTAGTCCTAACATAAGTTAAGCCTTTATTAAGTACAGCCTATATTCAATAAAGAGATAAATTAACACTGTAACTTGTGTACATTATTTGCTTTAGTTCAGTTAGGGCTAAGCTTTACCCTACGTAATACTATCAGTAAATAATCTTATAATATTACTCTACAACCTAACATTAGACCTTCTTAAAAACTTTGATAAGCTTTCAATATGTTGCATAAAATGTCTACTAAAGTATATTTACATCCTTTCTGGCGTAACTCGATGATTTAACAAAGATATGTTTTCAAATAGCGAAAAAGGTGCAATTTTTGGTACATTTTAGTCCAAATATATCTTTAATTTTTGATCAATCATAGACCATTAGCTTCTAATTGACGGGAAGACAACCTACTTAAATTACGTAATAAGTTGCTATGACATCAGTGCATGACCGACAGACAGACAGATAGATACACACTGTGTTTTATAGTATTAGATGCTTGTAATAAATTGAACAAAAACTTTTGATTACTTAGGTACTGGTGAATCTTACAGAATCGATCTGTAACAAATAATAGTGTACAACATTACAATTAAACATCCTGTATTAAATAACAAACTGAAGTACTCTTTTCTTTTCTAAAACCAATTAAACAAATTCTTATCTGACTTAATCAAAGAAGAGACATCAAGTTATGTTAGAGTACAAGAAACATGCAAATGTTAGAAAACAGTTGATAACAAACATTAAATAAAACAAATTATTTCAATATTTCTTAAAGCCTTAAACACATGCTTCATCAATCATTAAGTTTATTTTGTGAACAAAAACTAACTCTCACTTAGCATTTACTTCCTGTGTAAGCAAAAAATATTTACAAAATTCCTTCCTACAAGTATATCTTGTGACTGTTTACCATAATCAATATTTTTGTACCAACTTAGCATATTTTATGCAATATAGTATAGAGTAAGAGATAAAACATAAATGTTAAGTACGTGCACAACAGTGAAACCTTATTAAGATGGACATACACTTTATTGTTTTGTTCAAGTAAACAAAATGTCAAATCAGTAACTGTTTAATTTTGCAAACTACTTTATGCATGTTATATCCTATTTCTGTACAAAACCTTAAATCTAAGGAAAAGGCATTTCGGAATGCATGTTATATCCTATTTCTGTACAAAACCTTAAATCTAAGGAAAAGGCATTTCGGAATGCATGTTATATCCTATTTCTGTACAAAACCTTAAATTTCATAATTGAACAAACTTAAACTTAACAGACAAAAAAATGCAATTACTTATTTTATGCTTCACTGACACAAATATCAATAATAAGAATAAGCACAGCATTAGTAAAAAACCTGCATGGTCTTCATTTAAACTCCTTTTACATCACTAGCTGAATGAATATGTCATCCACACATCTTGCAAGGAAAGAAAAATGTTAGAAGCAAGTAACAGCCAGCCACGTATCCAATTCTACTAGATGTAGTAGATATGTAACCATATCTACACAAGTACAAGTTGAAGACAATGAATCAGGAAGGTTCTCGTCCACTGATGTTTTCTGTTTACTACAGTGGCTCGCTCTTTACCCTTTCATGCTCTCTCTCTTTTTTTTTTCTTGGAACTAGCAACAAGTTTCACTTATGTTTTTTAAAATAAAGATTTACTATAACAGGAAAAATTGGTGAATGCAGTAACAAAAGGGAATATCATAATGAATACCACACACTTCGTGAGGAACTTTTTATATTAAACCAAAAAAATTATCTAAATATGCTACGTAAACTAGTATATAGTTTTTACATATTAACAAAGAGTAAAATTAAATCCCTACCGCAGGGGAACGAAACTTGCTTGGAACACTCTGAAAAAAAAAAAATATTGTTTTGAATCAAATATCTTTAATTACTTGTACATCTACTTACCTTACTCTACTACTACTTAGACATTACTTTGATCAAATGGAAACAAAAATTATATAATATTACCCAGCCTAAAATCAATCTGATACTAACACAATTTTTTATATATATATGCATACACAATAAAAGAAATACTTGTGCTTTTTATGTAGCTTCATTTTAACTGTATATTTGCTAAAAAATAGTAATTAATATGGGTAGTTTGTCTTAAAAAACAGTTGTTGTTTTTTTTTCGAGAAAAACCACATACACGGAATGTACAAATTTCGGTCTTCTGAAACATCTCATGTGTATTAAAAGAGGAGTTTTCTACAAATCATGGTCCTAATTCAGGGGTTATTTTACTAAGTACAATCTTTAATATAAGCATATTTAAAAAAAAACAATTTGCAAATTTATATATTTATCACAGACAGTTAAATTGGTTCAAGAACTAAAAGAAATTCGTACAATGCCATTTATATGTTATCTCATTGATCTCAGAAAAAAAAAACTTTTTTAGTCAATATACTTAAACTTGCACTATCCTCAAAGAATTATCGAGACTCTTAATGTTATTTTAAAAAGTGCTCACACATATATATAGTTTTTCAAATAAGCTCTAACTTAATAACTCTGTCACTATTGGTGTTCTTCTTACTTACTTCTTTGATAAGAGAAAGATTAACAAATATTGTGAACAATTATCTTGGTATACACATGTACATGTATTTAAATTGTATGACAATTCTTGGGGTGTTTTCCTTGCACATTCCAAGAACTTACGAGTGAAAGCAAAGTACAGTATGTCAACCACATTACAGTCCCGATATCCAGTGCCCAGAAGGCCTTTCGCCCAATGCCATTGGGCTGGTTGGGATATGGCAAAATATTGGTTCAGGCACTATATATATCATTAACTTTTGTGAATAATGACTATTATATTGGAAATTAATTAAATATGATATGATTGGCTACAATGTACTTTACACATTGGTAATTAATCTGTACAGATGTGGCATTATAAGCCGTAACGACTTGTTCAAATCTGATTCATACACAAAATATTTAACAACATATTGCTCCTTATTTTACACTTTGATCTGTAAGTTTAATTACAGTTTTGTACTCAGATACAGCAATCATATCAGCATGATTTCATAACTAACAATAAATACGTAATCACTGTATCACAAACTACAAAAGTACTAATATGACCTTCAACAATACATGGTTACACTATATGGCAAAATATTTAGTTATAAAGACCACACTGTCATAAGATAACCAGTTATAAAGACCACACTGTCATAAGATACTTAGTTATAAAGACCACAATGTCATAAGATAACCAGTTATAAAGACCACACTGTCATAAGATAACCAGTTATAAAGACCACATTGTCATAAGATAACCAGTTATAAAGACCTCACTGTCGTAAGATAACCAGTTATAAAGACCACATTGTCATAAGATAACCAGTTATAAAGACCACACTGTCATAAGATACTTAGTTATAAAGACCACATTGTATCATAAGATAACAAGGAAGTTTTAAAGCTTTATTCAGAGATTGTACTTAAGCAAGTAACTGTTAAAAATTCAATATCTTTATTAACAGCCTTACCAAGAGATATATGGTGTCAGTACAGTTAAATATAATCTTGTATTTAACATCCAAGTATCGTGGAGGTTTATAACCAAACTCACTGAGTGTAAGATCTGGATGCTTGTAATAATAACTCAGAATTGTCTCAGGACCCTGTAAAAAAGAGAAGTGCTCATTATAAAAGGTTCCCTAAAAGCAAATGATATTTCTCTACCACTATCCATTGTTCATTCTCACTTGTAATATTATATATATATATATCTTTGAATAGTTATAATATTTACTCAAGTTCAGTCTGATCATTTCTGTATCAAAAACATGTAGAGTATCAAGCTATGGAGAAACTTACAGACACAAAAATAATGTTTTCTGCTACAAACTTATCAATTTAGGGAGGTGTAAAAGGTAGGAGCTTAAAAAGCCAATATTTGAGAAAATCTACAGCTGTTCACTATGGAGCTCAACAGGTGGGTACAGCTGCAAAAAATATTAACAAGTTTATTATGACCAAGTAACTGGTATTTCATCTGAAGTCAGTTAATATTCATAACCAATCAAAGATAAAACTACACCGTAAGAAAATATAGACTGGTACGTCCTGAATATCTATATTAACAATAATGAACTGTAGCTTCACAAGTATGACAATTAGTGAGAAGCTCTCATTACATTTGGTTATATTTAATGAATTCTACACCTAGAAAATTTTTCTCATACAAGTCAAGTACAACTGGTCAGCCAAAGTGAATATGATTTCTTTGATTAGTTTAAAAAGCCGACAGCTGTTTTTTTTACTGTTACAAGGAGTACAATATGATACTCAAGTTTGATTTGTATGTGTGTGTGTGTGTGAAGTACTGTTATGTCGTTATCATAAGTTGCAGTCTTTTTTTAGCTCCTTCCAATGATAAGTCACTGTATAATAGCACTAGTGACTGTATCAATGTCACAACTTCCTTCTTACAAAATAGTGACTCTCTGCAGGGGTGTAAAAATTCTTCGAAAGGTCATTGCCAAGAAAGATATGTCAGATATCTAACACAGTGTGCAATCATGACGGCTTTATATGTTAGCAATTATACATCAAAGAATAAAAGTAAAATAGTTATTTTGTGGGGTAGGTAAGTTTTATATTAAATCTCTACTGTTAAGAAACCTAATCTTTACTAAGTTAACCTAATCCTGATATTTAACCACCAATTTTCAGTTCTTCCAACTCCAAAATACAAAAAAAAGGCATAAAAACATTATACTCAGTCTAATTTCTTCAATTTATATGGAAAGTTTCCAAGGCATTTCTGTATATCTTTACCTAGAAGTAATGTTAAGTATCACATTTAATCTATCTTATTCTCTTGTCTGATTGCTTAAATATATAACATTTCACTATTGCTGTCTGACTAACATATCACAAATCTGGTAGTAAGAGTACACATTTTATAAAAGTTATTACATTCATTATTTGAGAAACAGCTGCTTTATAAATACACTATTAAAATTAATAAAACAAAGACAGGTAAAGTTCATTAGGTGGTTCTATAACCCATAACTAAATACTCTAACTTCTCCAATCAATGATTAGAGTATTATTTAAAATAAATTTTATTTAGCACAACATCTAGAGTTAAACTAGATATCAGGCACTGTAGAGTTAATCTAGATATCAGGCACTATAGAGTTAATCTAGATATCAGGCACTATAGAGTTAATCTGGATATCAGGCACTATAGAGTTAATCTAGATATCAGGCACTATTCCTCATTAGGAGGCTTATGAATAAAATTACTTTTTTGTGTGATCTTGATAAGCAGCTGCTAATAACCTAGCAAGTAAAGAATTTTAAAAAAAACTTCATAGTGGTTTTTAAAATATTTCCACTTGGTCACAAAGTGTTTTTTTAAAATATTTACACTTGGTCACAGAGTGGTTTTTAAAATATTTCCACTTGGTCACAGAGTGGTTTTTAAAATATTTCCACTTGGTCACAGAGTGGTTTTTAAAAATATTTCCACTTGGTCACAGAGTGGTTTTTAAAATATTTCCACTTGGTCACAGAGTGGTTTTTAAAATATTTCCACTTGGTCACAGAGTGGTTTTTTAAAATATTTCCACTTGGTCACAAAGTGGTTTTTTTAAAATATTTCCACTTGGTCACAAAGTGGTTTTAAAAATATTTCCACTTGGTCACAAAGTGGTTTTTAAAAATATTTCCACTTGGTCACAGAGTGGTTTTAAAATATTTCCACCTGGTCACAAAGTGGTTTTTAAAATATTTCCAATTGGTCACAGAGTGGTTTTTAAAATATTTCTACCTGGTCACAGAGTGGTTTTTAAAATATTTCCACATGGTCACACCTTTTGTCAGATTATTTAATATTTTTTTGAAATCACAATTCACTTTTTCATTCAGCTATGCAAGAAACTTTAAGACACTTCTAGTATGGGAAAGATAGGATCAATCAGACCAGCAATACCGGGATCAGGCAATATGTTTTAAAACAGCCTAAATGCAATCTTTTGTACAAAAGCATACTACATATTAACTTTATTACAAGTTTGAAGACTTATTTCAGATTTATATGCATAATTTTTTAAACTACGTGTCACAAAGTATATTTTTAAGTCACCTGATCTTTATACAAACACACATACACATATATATAAAGAATAAAAAGGCCAAATGTTATCGCAACTCAGGAAAACACCCTCTCTCTTATAACCATAGTAATAAAATTAATTCTACTCTGATTAACTGAAAACAAAACCAAAATACTCACATTATCAAGCATATCAATCCCCAAGTACTCTTCATAACAAGGAGTTTGACGTAAAACCCAACCTATCTCGAAATGTATTCCTTCTGTTACGTCAGTAGTTGGTTCGCACGTCACTGAAACATTCAGCATCTCTCATTATTATAACATTTAACTTTTCTAAGTCACAAGTATCATTAGTCCACAGTTTTTTTCACTGGCTGCTTGGATGGTGTAGAAAAGGATTCGATGATTCCTTAGGTTTGTTTTTTGTGGCATAAATTATGTAAACATTTTAATGGAAGTATTATGTTTAAAAAGGAATCTAAAACACAATGAAATAAATAGAATTACAGTCAGCTCTCTTCCTCGCTTACAATTAATAAGTTTACGTGATAAGGTTTGACATGTTTACCATTATTCCTTTTAATCCATACATGTAGTTTTTACCAAATTAAGAAATCCTGCATTTTTTCAATAGAAATGATAGACCTATCCAATCCCAGACTTTTACTACACAAACATGACAGAGCTTACATTCATCAAAGAGACATTTTTAATGATATCCTACTCAAACATGAGGAAATAAATGGGCAGATGTTGCATCAGTTAAATATTAACTTAAAACCCATTTTTTGAATTATAATATGTAATAATTACCTCAGATAACACAATATTCCTGAATTCCATCACGGGACAGAATGTGATTAAACTTTCCCAATATACTATGGCAGACAAAAGACTGATCTGAAAACATACAAGATGCAATACTTCATCCCATTCTACAAACCCAACAATGGTTCAGTTTGCAGATTTAATGGTTTGTGCACTATTATGTTTTCAGCATTCTTTGCAAATAGAATTTCAGATACACTAACTGATGCCATAGGTCCTAGCAAGCCAATACAGGTAGTGATGAAAAGGTATTCCAAAAGGAGGCTTGGGGCAGACATTATTATTTGTTCTTAGCAATGCTTGTAAACAACATTATATATAGACTACTGTCTGACACCAGTCTAAAAGATCAGTAGAGGTAACGATGAAAAAGTAATCTGAATAGTGTCCTGTGACAGACAGGATCTAGAAAAGTGCAATCTTTAACAAGAAGGTCACATCAGTATTTGAACTGTCACAATGAAGCAGCAAATACCAACTGTATTATTAATCATCTGGTTCACTTTGTTCATTTGAGTTTGAGTAGACGTACGGAAGGGACATAAAAAATACCAACTGTATTATTAATCATCTGGTTCCCTTTGTTCACCTGAGAGTGAGTAGACGTACGGAAGGGACATAAAAAATACCAACTGTATTATTAATCAACTGGTTCACTTTGTTCAACTGAGTTTGAGTAGATGTACAGAAAGGACATAAAAAATACCAACTGTATTATTAATCATCTGGTTCACTTTGTTCACATGAGTTTGAGTAGATGTACGGAAGGGACATAAAAAATACCAACTGTATTATTAATCATCTGGTTCACTTTGTTCACCTGAGTTTGATTAGATGTACAGAAGGAATATAAAAATACCAACTGTATTATTAATCATCTGGTTCACTTTGTTCCCCTGAGTTTGAGTAGATGTACAGAAGGGACATAAAAATATCAACTGTATTATTAATCATCTGGTTCACTTAGTTCATCTGAGTTTGAGTAGATGTACAGAAGGGACATAATAAAATAATATAAACTGCATCACGTGAACACATTTTTCATATAATTTTTGGGAGATAATTTTAACACTCATTTAGTGTTAGAGATACAGATATCAACTTATGAGTTAATTCATAAAAATTAAGTAATACATGATTACGCACAGTCAACACAAGTTGTGATAACACATATATGGAACTTACCTTTTATAGATACTTTTGAACCTTCATAAAGAGACTTGGCAACACCAGCATAAAAATCTGTTTGCTGAAAGGGATGTAAAAAAAATATATTACTGTGTGTGCAAGTTATTATAACATCAATGTTTAAATACTGTTTTACTAAACAACAGTTCATGTAAACATCTTTTAACACTAATTCCAAGCTTGGACTAACCTTGTAACCACCCAGTAAATGTGAAACTATATAAATTACAATTCTGTGTATCTTTATGAAATTTGGTAAGCTCTTAGTAAATTCTAAAAGTATGTTTTATAAAACAAAAGTTTTTAACAAAGTGTTTCTACTAAAGATTTGTATGGGAATTTCCAAAGCCTTTACTGAGTTGGTTTGAGTTAAAGATGATTTCCATGCTAATACTAAAAATACTTTATTCAGTTTTATATTTCCTTTGCATAGTTTCTAAAACCTCCTCAGTGAATACCATATTTTTTTGTGGTAAAACTTTATACCTTATCTTGTATTTTCTCTACCCTAATTCTTAAAATTTATGAGTGAATGTAAAAAGAATATAATGTGTCAACACACTTAATCTGCCATATCCAATGCCCATAAGGTCTTTTTCCCAATACTAAAGTTCATAAGGCCAGCTGGGATACAAAAGACACAGTAGTGGTTTAGACCAGTGTTTCTCAATTTGATTTGCCAGATGACCCCCCCCCCCGCCTCCAGGCTTTGGCAACCCCTCATTATCCGTAGGAGGATGAAAAAATTCTTGATATTTCTTGCCACAGTTCTTCATAGTTCATATGTGCACCTCTCAGACACCTTGAGGACTCAAAAAAAAAGAAAAGGTTAACTCAGTGCAGACAACTTGTGACCCCATTGGAAACCTGCTTGCAACCCCCCTTGGAAGTCACGACCCACCTTTAGAGAAACACTGGTCTAGACATCATGTAAATTACCAATTTTCAATAACTGCTGTAGGGTAATGATCACTCTTCCTCAAGTGATCCCTCACTTAATCTCATAGTGGTTAACAATGACTCTAAAATGACATCACCTCGGTTTAGCTCTCTGAGCATTTGTTATGGAAAACTATCAACTCACATCAAGAAACCTCTCTCCCTCACTTGTTGTCTCCATAGAATCCCAATCAACGTGTCTAACCAGCACTCACATATTCAAACTTCTCCAAAACAACTTTACATTAACTCTATGCTATTTTTTTTTGTCTTGCTTCTTAGTTTTTGGCTCCTAATCTGCTATTTTCCCTCCTCTAGTATCACAATCTTCCCCAAGAATACCTCTAATTTAACCTTAAATAAACAAGATTTGTAAGTATAGTTAGTGTAAGCCTACTGCATTTTTTCAGAACGTTCCTAAAAGTTATAATGGTTGGAGACGGCTTGAATGGGTAATGAAGAAAAACTTTAAATAAGTTTAACATAACAGCAAATGTACAACGTTTCGACAAGGATATATATATCCGTGTCAAGGGTTTGTCACCATCAAGTACAAGTAATTTACACTGACATGGATATGTATATCCTTGTCGAAACGTTGTACATTTGCTGTT